GTGGCTAAGATGCTGCTAATCAGGTGGCTGGTGTTGGCCACAGAGTGTGGCTGCCAAACCTACATTTGGCTTAAAAACTGGGGGGGGGAAAAAACCCCACAAAAAACAGTGGAGCAATAAGTCACTTCTAAAAGTAATGCCCTGACAGCAAAGGGGAAGAGCTGGCCAGGCTGCCTGTTTCCAGGCCCACATCCTTTGCAAGCAAAAAGTCCGAGGGACCATTGAGCTAGTGATTTCAGCAGACAGGAGAAAGGTCTGGAGACAGGAGGAAGCAGAGCTGAGTCCTTTGGGTCAGGAGAATTTTTGCCCAGCATACTCAGTGATTGAAGAGTCTCCGGAGCTGTCTGACAGCATTTTCAATGCAATTTCAGATGTGATTTTTCAATTAAACAATGTCAATACTAGCCAAAGATTGCATTTTGATCATCCTAAATTTTTTTTTTTTTTTAGACCTTGGAATGCCAGGAGGTTTGACATCCTGATAGGAGTCTTGCCTGGGTGACTACATGGTCATCCTCATTGCATGTGCAAGAGGAGGCACGTGGAGGCTCTGCGAGTGTTAAAAACCAGCAAGTGCTATTGCATTTACTTACTTTGGCCTCCAGCTTAAGAGGGGTCATTGAATTTTGCCAATAATTGCTGTAATAGAGGGAATTATTCTTTCTGCTGTATGTGAGCACTCCTGACCTCAGGAAATGATCATTTATACAGCCAGGAATCCTTAGGCAAGAAGCGAGTTTTCATTAGCTCCTCAAACCGTTGCAACAAAATGCACATGTAATGAAAAGACATTGTATATGTGATAAATCAGATTTCTGCTTGAACTTGAGCCTGAAATAGAGGGCCAGTTTCTACTTAAAGATCTTAAGAGGTGGTGACTTTTATCACCATGTGGTTAAGGAGTCAGCCAGTGCTCCAGCGAGGATGTGTGTTTGGGAGCCCTGCAAGGACCCCGTGCTCCTCACTGGTTGGGACGTTCAAAGAGGCTGCACGGAGTCAGTAGCACCACTAGGACCGAGTGAAGGAGAGCAGAGAAAGGCAATGGAGAAAAGCAGCTTCACAGGCTGTGTTCCTGGCTGCTGGAGCGGCAGGAAGCGCTGACGTGCCTGGGATGTGCGTCTGGGCTCCGAAGAGTGCGGGAAGAGCCCACAGCTCCCTGGGGCGAAGCCCAGGCGCGAGCCTGCCCTGGGCGCTGCTCTCTTCCTGGGAAGTTGCGCTGGAATGGGATTGTGCACATGCTTTTGTCCTTGCGGATGTGGCACCGTATTTCTTTCTTTTTTTTTTTTCTTCCTCTTTAAAATACTTCTGTCTTTTCCAAGTCTGATGTTGTAAGGAATTGTCATCCAGAATGCCAAAATGAAGCAGCAGTGAGAGCCCGTGATGGCCCCGGGTGGAGGATGCACTGCAGGATGTCATCTTCATGGCTAGAGGAGTGATGGCAAGGAGAGGGTCAGGACAGAAGTTATCAAAGGTGATACCATTAAGAGAGGTTCATCTTCACCTCCCAGGGGAAAATCTGTGATTTTACACACGGGTCTTCACAAGCTCCCAGTGGATTTTCATGGGGTTCCTTGTCTGGCCGGCAAAGCCCAGCACTGTGAGGAGCCTGAGGAAGAATGTTCTGTTCAGGAGTGTCTATCACATGTGCTTGCCATCTAGAAGGTTGCATAAGCT